GAGCTTCTTCTTAACTTCTTCCTCGAGGTTTAATTTACCCATCCATCAAGTTAGAGGGGTGACTGCATTCAATTTCGATTTTTTCCAATTTATTTTTCACCGCTAGGCTCACCCGCTCTTATCTATGGAATTTTAGGGTACATGGATGTTTCTCTCCTCTTATCGGCGGCTTGGTGAAGTGGTAAGCGTGACGCTTTGTGGGCGAGAGTCTAGGGTTTGGGTTTTCTGGGGGACGGGGTTTTTGCATTATATAGAATTTTTCCTTTAAGGACTAGAAAATACTCTTATGGTGAGATTTTACGTTTTATGACCTTTTAGTGCTATTACTGATATTTATCCACATAACGTAATACTTCATTTTACTCGCATGCCCATGCACTCTTTATTCACAGTAGGATAACTTTTGTCACTTGAATGAACAAATGTGATACTCTAGCACGAAATGTTTGAAACAAAGAAGGTTTTCACAATGAGAGCAACGGATGAAAAACACTCGTCACATCCCATTGCTTTAGTCTTACTAACCCCAAATCGGAAGGAAAGCAGGTTTGTGCAAGCGTCCCAAAATCACCCGTTTCAGAACTTAAAAAGCCAGCGGCATACCATGAATAATAGGGAAATTTCCTAAATCTAGCCGGACAGAACTGAAAGCGGACAAGCGATAGTGAGCGAGGAATGGGGTCTCGTGTGTACACGCAAAAGTTAAGATTAAGAGCAACTTCATATGAGGTGGTGCGTTCAAAGATATTTTCAGAAGGAAATGAGAAATAAGCTTTTATCGGGCTGCATTGGACTTGTGGTAGCCTCGAGCAGGGTGTCAATCCTTTCACCTGCTTTTGTGGAGGTGAGATGATAGCCTTCTGGTCTTCGAGTCCACCATCTTCACCGCCGGTGTTGGTGAATCCGGAGCTGCTATGCACCATCGCACCCAATCTAGCATCAAACCCACTCTAGCATCATCATTGCTTATCATATGCATTTTCCCTCCCGGACCTCAAAATTTTGCGCGAGGAATCTCCCACACGGTAACAGGTAGGTAGACAGGTAGGAGAAGGTATGAGCAAAGGCATTAAAAGGTCATAAAACGTGATAATCTCACCATAGGAGTATTTTATAGTCCTTAAAGGAAAAAATTCTATATAATGCAAAAATCCCGTCCCACAAAAAATCCGAGCCCCAGCCTCTCCCATAAAGCGTCACGCTTACCACTACACCAAGCCGCCGTTGAGAGAAGAGGAACATCCATGGAATTCACGTTTTCTCATGTTAAGCTCATAGAAACCACCCTCATAACTCCGTTCAGAGAAACGCTCGGCAAATTTGGAAAGCAGATTTGAACTCAGCATCCAAAAACACGTCTAGCAGTGTAGGTCTCATTTCAAATGACCACTTCTACTTGGGATCCTTCCCTGGTCAGTCGACCAGTAGGAAATTTAGGCGCGAGTTTTCGGACCATACGACCCGACAACTGATGGTAGTGACGAGAGCATGTTGCAGGGCGACAGGACGCATCCCCTTTGGTAGGCGGATATTTCCCCGAGCGAGTCCTGGTCCTTGATCCAGAACGCGATGACTTAGCCGTATCGTTCCGGGGCTTGCTGTGCGCAACTTAAAGCGTGAAGAACGAATTCAACGGCGACCTCGGGCGGACACACAAGGGGGACTCAAGCAAGGGGGCCGCCACCCCTCCAGTTCTTCGCTCCCCTCTACCTGACCACAGCTTCGTACGCGAAGCGGCAAGTCGGTCAAGATAAACCCCCGCACGACTGATGGGCACTAGGGCTCTGCATTATAGCTTGTGATAAAATATTAAAAAACCAGAAAGAAACAGGAATATTATTGTTACATAAGCAAAATTTTTAAGAATCGGACACGCCTACAAGCCTAAATGAGATATGTCTGTCAAATTCGACTAGAAATTCAACAAACAACAACGCAATAACGCTGTTCTTCGCAAAGCTGTTGCTTGCGATTTTTTGGGCTGACTGAATCCCAAGGACAGGCGATTTGCTGACCTTATAACGGCTTTAGCCGATGCACCAAAAAATGTGGTGACTAGGCGGAAGGGTGGCGCCTTTTATATGATCAGAGAGATTGTTGTCTCTCTGATAAATGAACGAATAAATACGGTGGTTGAGTGATATATTTATTAGCAACAAACGCAAGCACCCTAGTCGCGGGTGGTGTACAAGAGCGAGACCTGTAGCGGGTATGACAAGGAAGAGAATGCCTACTTAAGCGCCGCCCCGAAGAAGCGGTGATGACCGCGGGTTCTGGCCTAAGCCAGAACAGACGCCGCTACTATTAGACGCCGAATTGCGAACCTGATTGAATTCTGTCTGTCTACATCATCTATTTCATACGATTCGCGCTTTCTCCATGGCAGTCAGCCAAAGGGAAGATAACATAGACAAATGCAAATCGTTCGCTCCACTCACACTTGGTGGCACCGTAATGTCATCTCGAGACCTCAGTGGTGTGCGCCGCGCGCGAAGTGGGCGGGGTGACCTACTTCCGACGGACACGCGCAACGGACGTTCGCGTAAAAGCCCGATCCCTGGTGCTATACCAATAAAACAATTGCATATTTACGTTGATTACGCATCTGTGTGTCATGCAGGAAATTTAAGCCACTCGCTCCTTCTTCCTTATGTGAGTGAACGCTGAGATCAACGAGATCGTCCATGATCTGCAATTACAAAGATATCAGTGTCACGTATACGACGTCTAAAACAACCCGTCACCTATACGACGCGTTGAAAAAAGAGCACGGATAGTGAGCGCTGCAGCAGGTGCATTTGCAGACAACTACAGTGAGGAGGATGAGTGTGGTGCGATTCGAACGACTCTGACGCCTATTATTGGGGCACAAACTTGAAGTGGAATAGTTGGGTATGGTCAGCTGATTCTACCGTTCTACTCTGCTTCAAGTTAGTGCACCAACAGTAGGCGCACGAGTTGTTTGAATCATCGCGAATTTCGCCGCGCAATTTGCCGCGCGCACTCGGAATCGCACGAATCGCACGTCCCCCAACAACCCCTCTAGGCGCTAGGCCGGCGGAAAGGTTTCAGGCGTTCGCGAGACTGGAGGGCTTGGCCGCTTCTCATAAAACCGTAAAATATTCCCCTGCTAGTGCCCAACATTGGAAAGTGGGATGTCGAATCGTCGTCTCGACTTGGCTGATATCAAAGCTCTGCTTTCATCTGGTAACCGCATAGTTCAAAGCCAGGTAGGTTTATCTTAGCTTTCGAGACGGCATATGTGGAGTGATTCACTTTCAGGGCTTCTCTAGTTTGATAATACACTTGAAACCGCCTTTCAATAATGCTAAGGAGCGGATTCATGTCTTGAATATGTTTTTCGATTGCTTCACAAATTATGGGGATAGCGTCTCGCAATGGTGCTGTGAAGCGGTACCTTGTCTTATTAATTCAGGTGAGTGGTCCTTCATAGTTATCTTCGGATTTATTTTTTTTGCATCTTTGAGCGGGGAATGTCAGACGTCTTTCTTTTCCAGTTTTTTGATTAAAGTAAACGATTGATCGATTGAGCTGATCTTTTAGTGTCCTGAATGTAGGGCAGTCAGTTACTCACCACGTACCCTTGAGACGAAGATGTGAGGGCCATTCGGAGCAATTCCACGCCAATGAACTGGGGATGGAAATTCGAAGTAGTCTTGGTCAGCCAAACCTTAAATGGCACCGGAGTCGATTGATTTTCACCAGACTCGTATGGTAGGATACTAAGTTGTACATATACCGGCTGACTCCCGCATTTCATCGTGTAAACCACTTACAAAGGGCTTACTAATGCCACTACGAATCTGAATGAGAGTTGACTCCCTGGCAGATTAATCACCATCAATAAACTCTTTTGATTTTGCCCTTTGTGTGCAGATATGTGCACGTGAGGAGATCGAATCACCTCTAAAGAAATAAGGTCCTTAAGCTTCCCACATGTTTGTTCCAAAAACGAGAGCTCTCCGTAGTCAAGTCGTTTATATACGTCAGACTGTCGCGGAAAGCGTAATGGTGAGAGTAATCCCATTTAAACTTCAATTTGTCACTTGTTCGGGACGAATTCCTTTAATTTTTTGTAAAGTTTTGAAACCACCTTACAATGAGCAAGGCTCATTGCGTTCGTTAAGAACATCGTATGTGACTTTTTACCATGAACACTCCTAATTCTTTCGCGCACGAGCTTTTTCTTTCTTAAACTCCTATTTCTTGAACAGCTAGCCTAGTCCCAGACAGCTGTTATACGTACCGAATAGATTTTTTTTTTGGTTATGAAGGCATGTAACCAGTGAAACCACTAGACATCATACATATTAGTGACAATTTTATCCAGTGAAATTGTCATCTGGTTTTGTTTACTTCAAAAATCATTTGTTTTAGGCCTTATGACGTGGGAAGATGTAAGTTCACATTGCTTCGTTAAATTGTGCAGTAATGAAACTAGCGAGTCGTGCTGGGCAGTTCTTGTTCGAACCCTACTACACTCATCCCCTTACTTGACTGGGTAAGTTATATGAAGGCTTGTAGTTTTTCTTTGATTTCTTTGAGAACGATCAGATAGATGGGCATTATCTAAAGCTGTTTTCTTGAACAGTGGAGAATAGAATACTGAGGCTAACACTCATCCAGTTTTGGCGTTGAGCTCTTGAGCGTCTGTTGTAGTGATACTTGCTTCAGCACGTGCTTTACCATCCTGCAAAAGTGCAAATCTTGTTCCGATGTTCTGATTTATGAGGTCTTAGCCTTCGAGGATACCAAGTAAGTTACTGCCATATAACTCATTTAGAGTAATTTTACCCATTGAAATGTGTTTAAAATTCAATGGATTCACTGCAGAGTTGAGGATTTAAGCCCTTACCGTCAGACGTTCAGAAGTGTCGTTTGAATATAGCAGCAATGTTTGAAAAAAAATCAGTAAATGATGTCTTTCTACAACACAAGTAGTAACCTGATCGACAATTCTGAATCCCATTGGGAACTTTTTTCGTTCCGATCCTATAGTTTCATTATGGCCGATTTCCTTTCAGCTTTGTCTCAACTAATTTTCTTACAGGATCTTACCAACCCTGCAAGTTCTAATATGCAGTGGACTTTTGTCTCATGCCGACGAAGTTCTCCTTCTTAATTACGTTATTTCTAAAGCCGAGTCTAATGACAAATTCCTCGAACAGTTTTTTGACCATTTCATATGGAAGTATCCCTGCCGTTTTCTAACCGGAACGGATTTGAAGCCTTTTCTGGCTAAGGTCGAGGATTGTTGGGCAGGTAATGTGAGAATAAGGTTTTCGCTGTTTGGATTTTTATTGGTGAAGAATTTCTTTTCCAGAACTGCCCGCGGATGACTTAAGGTCACTAAAACTTTCTATAGAGGATGTATTTCCAATCTCAGATCTTCTTTCAAGACGCCCAGAGATTGTTATGAATCCAAGTTTTCCTAGAAGTCATGTCTTAATCCCTTCATTGTTATCATTGTACTCCTGCAGGTTTGCATGATTTTTATAAGCTTTAAAAGTTGTGTTTTCACTGAAGGTAAGACGTTGTGTTCCTCAAATTTCAGAACGGAACTAGCAAAGTCGGCGCCAGAACTTGTTTCGAGCGAGCAGATAAAAATGGTGAGAAACACCTTATTTTTTCCTGCTTTCGCTTTTCGATAATTTGAAAATGAACATTATCCATGATTGAATAAGACAGCTGAGGGCTTTCTGTTATCATTATTATTGTCAATGAGGGGGGGGGGGGGGGGGAACGTGTCAAGCTGCACGCTCGGCCCAACATCCATTGCGATTGAGGTTTACTTTAATTGTCATGAGCATGCAACAACTTTACCCCAGTGGTACCTGAAGAAGGAGATTAGAATTTTGTGGAACTGTAACTTTTTTTGCTAAATTTTTTGTTCATGCTTATTATTCGATCATATCTTCTTCTGCTGTTCATCTGTGATACTTCTCATTATTTTCTGATACATATATAATTGCGACTAAGACGAGTGCACTCATCTACTCTTGCCTCGCCACGTGTCGGTGTATCTCGACGACGGAAGAGGCGGTGTCTCATCGGTAAAGATATTAGTTCACTAGTAAATGATTGGCTGAATCTTCACAGCTTGCTGATTGGTAATGGGCAAGTGTATTAAATGCGAGCTCGGTCTAGAATCACGGTGCGGTTGGGTTGATGCAACTGACTGAGCCGCCAAGTTTTCAATCGGAGGCACTTTTCATAGTCTGAAGTTGAATATTGGTTCATAAGCCTTCCTTTATCGATGTCAAAAGGAACTAGGGATAGTGAAGCTGCACCACTACCTTCGAACTAATGTGAACCGTTCGACTTCGCGGTAGAACAACGAAGCCATGGCAGGTTGCTTGTCTTTCGATGGGTTGGTCTTTGAGGCGGGTTGCAAAATGAATGCCTCAATTATCAGTAACTTTCTGATGAAATGGAATCGAAATAACGAAAAGGAATGAAGAAACACGAACAAAGTCACCGATCAAAGCATTTCTGGGGAAGGGTGTGGTTAGTTTCTTTTTATAATATACTAGTTGGGCTCGCACACTAACGTGCACGTCACAACTAAGAGCGCATCAAACAGATATTTTTATCTTAGTTCCATTCCTCAATGGATGTAGGGTGTGGTGGGTAGTCAGTTCATTAAAAGGTGGAGGACGCTCCGATCACCGCTGATGGGTCTCCTTCGACTAATTTGTTGACACATTCCTAACCTTTGCTCAGCTGTACCGGTGTCCGGGCTTCCTACAACAAATTATTACGTTTTTCTCCTTGCTCCAAGCATTCTTGTGCCTGTTCCGCCTCCTGGGATCTCACGCGTGCTCTGTCAACTTTGCGTGAGGCCAAACTCATCCAATGCTCGACCTGATTTTCAGGTACTTCTTCAGGTAAGACCGAACTTCAGGTCAGATAGACAGACAAAAATGAATTTTCTACATATAGGCAGTTACGGCGGTGATTTCTTTGCTACATACTAATTATGACTTCATAATGATTTCTCGAACGTCTTCCCGCACTCTACAGGGTGGGCCAAAATTATGATTACAGCGCGCGCTGACGTTCATTGCAAATTTTTTCTATGTTCATAACAATACATTGAATTTCTTCCATTTCACAAAGTAGCTTACTTTATTATCTTTCTAATGATACTAAACTTTGGGTAGATTTTTAAAATAATATAAGTGTAACTAGTCCGTGAATTAAGCGTCGCTTTGCATTTACAAACACTTTTGGCACGGTGCATCTACAGACGAACTAGCGAAACAAGGCAGGTATTGCATTCAACCATAAGACGCTCTCGAGAGTTGGGAACAATTGCAGACAGGAGTGGTGGACCTAGGAGAGCTGTGGTTA